CTTATTTGCGAGTGGTCGTGTAGTTCGATTTGCCGAGAAGAGGAAAAAAAGTCGACGAAAAACTTTGTGCGGATGGCAAAAACCGAGAGCCGCTTCCGTGCGTACAAAACGGATGGCTTAAGAAGCAGCAGCCTCGGCGAGAGCTGCGAATATTTTCGGCCGTGACTCTGCGCCGCTGCCTGCTCGCCCTTAAAATAATTTTCATCCTGTAGAACTATTTCCATCTGCTCGCGCCTTCTCCTTCGGAGCTCGTTGGCCTCTCCCGAGCGTCGTGCCTTTTTTCTTCTTCTATTTTTATAATCCGTATAATTTCTACGAGTCTTACGAGCCACCACTACCCGCGAGCGGCTCTGGCGAGGAGGTATTTTTCTTTTAATAACCCTGCGTACGTCTTGGCGTCTCTCTGTTTATGCGAGGCTGTGCGTGTGTACTGTGTATATGTGTAGAGAAAGTCGATGTCTTGTGGTTTTGTGCGGTGGCGATATGGAGAAAGAAAAAGTATCGAGAACGCGCGACATTTTTTCGTAAGCCGTAAAGTATTCATAAGCTGAAACGACTGATTGTCGAGGCTCGTAGAAAAGGAATAGCAGCACGCGGGTCACGAAACGGTCACTACAACGACAACTTGTGACTTTTTTATGGCCCCCAGCCTGCACTTTATTGTTGATTTGATTTTAGAGTGTAAATTAAAGCTTCCACGCGTTTTGTTTCAATGGAAATATTGAATTTTTTCTAAATAAAACAATTTCACTATCGAATGTACAATGTTTACTTTTATTTACAACTTTAATTAGTTCTGAATGACAGAAAAGTATTACAGCATGTTTTGACGACTTCTAATAGTAGTTTGAGTACGAAAAACAATTAAAATGTCCAAAGCACGACACTTGATTTTGCAAATTCAACTTGGAACACCACCTAAGAAAATACCGAGTCCAGCTGACCATTCTTTTTTTAACTTAGCTCACGGCAGGTATAGCGAGAGACAAACTATGAATTTACAAGCAGTTTTTTAGTTTGTACACAATTGCACAATGGCGAGGCTCTCGCAATCCCTCGCTCAATGTAAGCAAACGGACAAAACTAGCGTCATTAGATTTATTAAAAAAAGAAAAGGAAAAAAAAAGTAAAAGAAAAAAAGGCAAATTTTCGACACGTATTATAAACGGCAAGAAGACATAATAATAACTTATCAATCAATCAAAAACAATGAGGTATCCCTGCCGCGAGCAAGATATAATAGACAAAGGGAAGATAATAATTGAAAAGCCAATACATTACGAGCGCAGCTTGCGCATAGGCGTGCTCTATACGACGACGACGGCGGCAGTTATATTTTACAAGCCACGCGTGCAGTTTTCCTTTTATTTTTTTTCTTCTTTTCCTCGCTGCTAAGCTCGTCGTTGTCGCCACTGCCACCGCCGCCTGCGATGCATGGACACGAGCGAACGAGTAGCGAACGAGCGACGACAACGACTGCTGCTGCTGCTGCTACGTACGATCTGACCTCAATCGAAATTCGGTCGATCGATTCGTCGCTTGCAGTATTATATACAGTAATATATGTGTATAACGCGCGGCAGGTATACATCCATCATTGTGTATGTTTCCTAGGTACATGTATAAGCCATCTCTCCCTCTACTCGCTATTCGCTGCCGTGCCGAGCTTTTCCCGACTCAGGATCAAAGCTTTTATGTCTCCATCAACCCCTCGAATAATCGCCTCCTTTTTACCCTTTTTTCGCCGATAAAATCGATATCGTCGTCAGCGGTACTGCCAAAGAGCTGCTCCGCGCGCGTGTCGAGAATTTAACAATTTCACCTCTCCAAGTGTATAATCATCGGCTGTGCAACACAGCTTAAATAAGCTCGGAAATATCCTTTATATACGCTTTATGTCGCGCATTTTATATACAAAATATTTTGTAATATCGAATTAGTTCTAACCCGCATGACGCCCGCATTGTTTGTCGCTGCACGCGCGTGTGTGATGCAAAAAAAGTATCATATCACACAGATGCATCACCTATAATACAGTAGGAACGAAAAGTTGAAAAAAAAGTAGCGAGAAAGTTTTAGTGCGTGCAATAAAGGCGAGGAAAAACTTGGCGCAAGTGAAATTTTCAATTTTGTTAGAAATAATTGACTCTCTTCTGACGGTGAGTAAACTACGCGAGCCTCGGGGAAAAAGAAGCAGAAAAACAAACCCTGCTCGGATAATATCTAGCATCATCGCGCCAAGATTGCGTCACCGATGCTTATGCGCATGAATGAGCCCCACCCAATGTTTCAAATTTTTCGCTACTCGAATACACCGCCGCGCAGCATCCTCGCGTGTGTTATCCTCTTTCCGACTCTCTCTTCCTCTGCGCGATGTATTTAATGTGCGTAAAAGGCGATGACCCTAAGAAGCGGACGTTTTCTTTGCATATATATACACTCGGGCTCGAGCGACGATGGATGTATGTCAAGCAACTTTTTCTTCCGAAAGATATTTCGTCGTTTTAGTAGAATGTGGTGTATAAATATAGATACGCGTATATATACGCGACTAAGGTAGGTGCATGTGAATTTTTTTCGCTCCCTCCCCCAGCGGTCGCGTTTGGTTGAATATGGGTCGACGTTGTTCAGGATATTTTTGACTTATTGCCCGAGCAGCGAATCGGTGCCCGGTCCGCGGATAAAAAATACCCAAGTTACTCAATGAAAAAAAGAAAAGAGAAAAAAAGCGTCTTTTGGCGTGCGTATCAAGTTCTCGAAAGAGGAGATTCGACAACAAGTCACGTCGACGTATAAGCTCTGTCAGTCATAATCGTGATTATTTTTCAGCGCTCCGCGAAAAACGCGGAAATGGCGCAACTGATTTATAAACTTTCCTTCGCGGCTCCAAGAGACAGACTAGAAAAGCATAATCGTGCCGGCCCCAGCCATGTATAAAAGCAATAAACTTTTTGAATCACCCTTTAATTTAAGCTGGGTAATTTTTTGTCGCCACGAGTCGAGAGCCTGCTACAGGATACCTATAAAAATGACTTAACGAAGTTTGTCGTCGAATACGTAATGAGGCCGAGCACGTCAAAGTTTGCATTTTAAAATGTAACGGTACCGCAGCACCAGCCACAGTGTGTATAACCCTAAAACACATTACTTTTATGTGTAGTCGAGTCAAAGTCCGAATAAATAAACTTGATTTAATTAATAAAATATTTTAAAATATTTTATTAGCGCCGTCTGCGATAGAGTTAATTTGTGCGTAATTATGAGACACAAACTACGAGGCGTTAAGATGCTTCGAAGCTCGTTAGCCAGTAGATGATTATCGACTACGACAGAAAAAGTATCTCGTGTGCAGTCGTTGTAATAGAAAAATTACGAATGTAAACAATAATTGCACTTTCCTCCACAGATTTTTTAGGTGTCAACATTTGTGCGTTGTTTAAATTTTTTGACCATAGGCGTCAATACCACAGACATAATAAAAACATTGATAATGTATTCCTAAATTGTATCTCACTCTTTATCTATAAATATCCATATCGAACGTGTGAATATCCAAGTATAAATATGCCTATTTATTTACGTGTTAATATGTAATGACGTACCACCCGAGGACTATATTTAAATGCCGTAGTTGACTTTAGTTTCCAAGAAACTTTTTTGTAACAATGCTTGTGAAATATGTAGCATCTCTGCGATCGGATTTAGATATACAATCATTTATTGACTTGTACTTTTCGAAATATTTTGGAATATTTTTTAATTGAGGGGATCAGTCCAAGGCCAATAACTAATAACTAATGATGCACTGCATATTTACTATATGCAGATCGATAAAATGGAGGCAATAACTGTTTATGAATCTTCGTAATCATGCTTATCATGAACCTTTATTTTTGAGCCCCTTAGTCGAAAAATTTATTATTAATTTTGATTGTTACGGCTCAGAATCGTAATATATTTATTTATTTGGACTACTTTATAGCATTCACTGCGGGAATGAAAAATAAGACAAAATAAGTAAAGCCGGCAGTCGGTTTCGTGGTTTTACAAGGTCAGATAGTCAGGTTAACTATATACTTTTTGACGTCGTTGAGTATGTATTCGTTATGAAAAAATACGAAAACACTAAGGGCAAAAGCGATATTTTTAAAAAGGAATATGACTAATTGATCCATCTCTATTGCACAGTAAAAAAAGTATAATTTGAGGTTTAGGATAATCGAAAATTGATTAGGCGAGCTGATGTAATTATATGTCATTTGAGCTCGTCTCGAATTATGTATCGAACGCGCCAGATGACCACGTGCTTTTCACTCGAGATGTGCCGTGTTTATATTTTTATCAATAGTGGCTAATACGCTTGGAGTATAATTGTTATGAATGAAAGATCTTCTAGTTTGTACTTTTTTAATGAATTAAGACTGGGAAATTTGAGTAATTTAGGGTACTTTTGTAAAATTCCACGCGATGAAAATGAGGAAAGTGAAAATGTATTCTTTGGCTTGGTTAGACGTACTACACGAGGTGGCAGTTTTCTCTTACGTACGACTTTCGATACATGTATGCATACGTATAAGCTTGGAGTTAAAGCATCCCCGTTGGAAAGGCATTGCTGTTGGAATATAGCAAGAGGAAGAATACGCGGAGGCGAAGAGCACCAGCGTAACGCAAGCAGCGCAACGACGACTATAGCCGTATAGGAGCTGAGAGAGAGAGAGAGAGAGAGAGAGAGAGAGAGAGAGAGAGATAGAGCGCATTGGCGGGGGAGCGGGGGAGCGGGGGTGACGGGGATACGCGTCGAGCGAGACTCGAGTCTCTCTCGCGGCGCAGCGCACCACGCAGGCATTGCTATTGCCAGGCAGAGCCTCGTACAAGTCTATATCTATATACACACGTACACGTATACTGTACGTACAGCAGCAGCAGCAGCAGCAGCAGCCTGGTATATAGGTGGTGTAGGAGAGGGGAGAACTCGACGGCCAGAGAGCGAGGGAAGAGAGGCTCTATACGCGAGGGCTGACTCGACGCGCCCCGACTGTCTCGCCAGTGAGTCGGGCTTGTGCTTTTCATCAAACAGGACGTACCTCCTTTTTTAAGCTCTTGCCAGCATTCGTCGTACACATTACATATATATATAGTTTAGCGCATAGAACATCAGCAGCAGTAGCAGCAGTGTGTGCCCAGCGAGTGGATCCTGCCTCTCCCACGCATGCACTCTCCCACAAGAGTCTTGCGTTTTTTTAAGTGTGTTTTTTCATTTGCATCGGTTTTTTTCATTTCGTTGTTTACTTTGCTTACTTAATTACGCTCGACGCCGAGTTAGCAACGCTTGGTGAAATCAAGGTTATTTAAACAAAAGGTGTGTACACGTTTTAAACTACATTATTAAGTTGTGCTTTGCATTACAAAACTACGACGAGCCGACGACTTTAATTGTCGTTCGGCTCGCGCAGAACGGGAATAATCCCCCGTAATTCAAGTGCGTGTCAAGTGTGTCCAGGCTCTCTCTCTCTCTCTATCTCTCCAGTGCGACGTAAGAAAATCAGGTGTCACCAGTCAAGTTCTTTTCTCGCAATATTTGCCTCGCCGAGCAGCGAGGAAAAGTGTCATCATCAGTTTGTAAAAAGTGCATTTATAGCATTGTGCGTGGTGGGCTGCTGCGTTGCTCGCGCGAGAGAAACAGTTTTGGTCTTGTGAGCCGAGTAGTTTTGAACGCGCACGTTCACGGCACCCGTGGCGCCCTCTCAGTGCCGAGCCCGAAGCTCCCGACTAGCAGCCAGAATGTGTGCGTGCGCCATGTGTATACGTACTAAAAACACATACACGCACGTAGGTTATATAGGAGCGCGAGCTACGAAATTCTACTTCGCGAGTGCTCATTGTTAAAGAAAAAAAAACGTGGGGGGTCGGTCGCGACTCGCGAGGTTGCAGGTTGGAGGACGCCAGCTCGTCGTTGTGTCGCGCGCTGCGTTTCTCGTTCTAGCTGTTCTTTAGTTTTTTTCTTCTGCTCTTGGTTTTCAGTGCAACCGAGGCCGCTTTCTCTCACGGTTCACGCACGTGTTTCCAAAAGTCATTATTTACGTTACGTGATGCTACGCCCTCGACACGAGTCGAATGTACTCGAATGCAGGCTCGGATGACTCAGCGTTAAATGACTCCGCGTACAGAGCCATAGAGACACCCCCTGCTCGTGCATGGAAAGTGGAAAAACCTCCCTCTCCCCCTCTCGGTCTCTCTCGCGCGCGCATCTGCTCGCTACATCCGATATATCTGGCATTCCTCGGCGTTTCCAAATTTTTATCTCTCGACGACCCGTTCTCGGAATTTTCGGTGTTTACGTGTACGCACCCCGTACTGCTTCTACATCGTTCATTGATCGTCGATGGTGTAAACAAAAGCTTCGGGGTTGATGAAGCCATACAGTTAAGTAGTATATATCTTTGCGTATTTGTAAATATAGACATGGCATCACAGTTCGTTCGTTCGTTCGGTCGGTCGGTCGTTCGCGCGTGTCTATCCTTTGAGTCGGGAATATTCATCGTTCTCTTTTCTAAAAATAATCTCTCGTCGTAACCTTATTTTGAAAAAGCGTTTATGCGTATTACCTTCTGCGGCCCCTACCCCGGCCGCGACGCGTTCGGTTCGTGCGCCGCCACGACGAGCACGTATATATAGATAGGATCTCGTCCCACTAGGATTTATAAATATAACGCGTAAAACTCGTACGCTCGCTCAAATGTACTATACATTGCTCGAGCTGTGGTATATCTTGCTATTGCCTCATCCGGGAAATCGAGGACTTATCTAGTTCTGCTGGCTCGTCTCTCTCTCTCTCTCATCGCTACCGATTACAAACCAGACATTCACGCCCCTACACATACATTATGTATTGGTGGCGTCGTCGTAAGCCAACGACTGTGTAATGCTCATGTAAATTCCTGCACGGGGCGGTTGCTGGAAAAGGCTTATCGCTCGTTTTTTTTTGTCGTGCGTGCCTTTCGATATTCCGACCTCCCGCGGCGTCTCGTCCTCTCTGCGTTGCTCCTACTACGAATCGTATAAAGTGTGTATACGTGCATCGATCGTGAATAGCACGACGTGTGTGCCATATAGTATATCTATCGTACGTACGCGCCACCGCCTGCGTTACGTAAATCGAGTCGTGCTAATTGCGATCGAGATAAGAAAAAAAAATTATTACGTATGTCACCGAGCGCGCGCGCGTGTATGACGAACGCCAAGAAAAGAAGAGAGAAAAAATAGCAAGGAAAACCTTGCGTCCATCGTAATGTTCTCACGCTTTGCATTATTTATTGACAGTGTAATGAATAGCTGAATCATCGCTCGATGCTGCCGATCGCGCGGCGGGCATTGGACACAGCCCTTTACTCGCTACAGATCGTTGTTGCGAACCACACAAGCTCGACATATATATATATATATATATATACTGCACTGTGTGTGTGAGTGCCTAAAGCTCGCACGCTGTCGCGCCTGCGGAATTTTACACACGCACGCACACAACGCCTTGCCTGACTCGATCTAATTTTAATTCACAGATTTCTCCCCGCGTGTACCTTATAATTTTAGAAGCCTCGCGCGAGCCCGCGATTTCTTTATACGATGTGTGTGCGTATAGGCCGTATACCATAACATAACGGGGCGCTGCTTTCCAAATATTTTTTTTAAACCCATTTCGACGAGGATCGTCGCACGGCCTCGTTATCGTTTGCCATTTGTCCATTATGGTCGATTGATAGAGATCATCGAGAGGTAGCCGGCTTAGGCCTCGGGATCGCCCACGCGTCATCGCGCAAATGACACTTGCGGCACGTTTTCTCTAATGTTTACGTTGGATCTGTCGCGTCTAAACTCGGGAGTCATTTCACTCTCGTCATCGAGAACGCGTGTGCGTGTATATATCGTACGAGTAGTAATAGTAGCAGTAGTAAAATTGAATTTTACACACGCGCGAACGAGAGGAGAGACGCATTAATAATATTATTATGCCTTCGGCTTGTGCGTATGCCTCCTACCTTATTGGCTGCACAGTTACACAAAGTCAGTGGGAGGCAAACATAACGGAGACTTAGATATCGCTTCTCTCTCTCTCTCTCTCCATCTCTCCCCCCTCTCCGAGCTCTAGCCGCGCACCTACTATTACCGCTGTAGCTAATATGCTGCATGAGCAAAGAGGTCGACGAGAGCGAGCGAGCGAGCAGAGGAAGAATGTGTAATCGCCTTGGCTCCCAAGACACTTGGCGGTGGCTTTTCGGTACCACCTGTGCGATTCACACCGCTGCTACTGCTACTACAGCTACTATTGATGCCGAGAGCCGATGTCGCTGTGGTAGTAGTGCCGGTGCGCCGCACGATCCCCAACTATATAATAAAATCGGCGATATTATACTGTGCCGAGCATGTGTCGCGCGTTATGAATTTTCATGAGCTTTTAATCTTTAAGTCATTGCCGACGAGCGAAGCATTGTGCGCTGGCTCTCCTACGTACGTACGGCGCATAACAATTAAACTGCTCGAGCCAATCAAAATGCTTTGTAACTAGCAGCAGCGGTAGCTCTCTCGTAATGTATAGAACGAAAGCGACCGTGAACTCGTGTTCCGTTTCTCGCTTTCAAAGTTGAATTTCCATCGATCAACGCGCGTATATTGTTTGTATCCAATGTGTGTGGCTCCCGCCTGCACAGCCTCGGCTCGTTTTTCCTACCCTCTGCATCGCCTCGAGCGACGACGATCCGCTCCGAAATAATCGATCGGATGCATATTAATCCGCAGCCTTGGCACGTTTTTTCATTCTCTTTCTTTTTCATCCGCGCCACGTTCGCCTCGCATCCGCTCGCAACGTCGTGCGCGTTAAATAACATTTGCCTTTCGAAAAGCCTCGAAAGATGTTGCTGTTTGCGCGTTGCATGCAGCGCATCTTCCCTCCTGTATGTGCTCCAGACGCCCTTCTTTTTATTCTTCTCTCTTATGGCGTGCGCGTGCACGATCCAAGTAAATAATAACAGAAAAACTTGCCGAGCTCGTCGTCTCAAGTTTGCACGCTTCTCCGGCGCAAAAATACACAACTAGCTCTATTCATTGCGAAATCGAGGTCCTCGACCGTTCTCTTTTTACTTCGCGCGCCTCTTTCATATTGTGTATAGTTCCTATATAAACATAGGTATATATATTGTCGCGTGCAAAAGAAACGCGAGGAAAGAGAGTCGGTGGAGGGAGAAGGGGTGAAGAGCCGATAATGAGAGCGTAAGGCGCACGCTCGCCGAGCACTTGCCTTTATTTATTATACACAAACATGAAATCCAACAGTTTATTGTCTCTTTTTCTCCAGCGCAGCCACGCACACGCTCGGTCAAGGTACAATTCGAATTTATTCTCAATTTCTCTCATCGACGTACAGAGTATAAGAAAGAAATATTTAAAACATGATATATAAGGCGCACGCTGCACGTGTCGCATGCCAAAAGGAAGCCGCAGGAAAAAGTGCAACTATTACATTATTATTTTAGGAGCTTACGAATAGCGCGCCGTACAAAGCACGTTGGAGCTTCGGCTTTCGCTGTCGCTACTCGTGTGCAGCCTGTGCAAAATATTGATCCGCTGCGGTGGTGCTGTGCTGGTACTTGTGCTCGTACGCAGCCGAGGCGCGTGTACATAGATAGGAAGATATAGCAGGGAAAAATGCCACTGTGCTGCGGGTGGTGATACGTGTTCGTATAGGTAGCACGAGCGAGCGAGTATCGATTGGGCCCGGTTGGAGCCGAGCCGAGGGGTTGCAGGACACCTAATGCTTTCAAACCCTCTCTGTGTACTCGCATTTATCGCTTTGTACGCGTAAACTGCGTGCGCGATACAGCCTATCTTTCAGATTAGACCAAATGTATGTACGAATTCGAGCTCGTTCTACGCTTATTATTATTTTTTTCCTTGTTCAACGTAGCGGTAGTAACGTTGCAGGGCAACCATATCGATCGCCGCGGATAATTCCGTATTATACGTAAAAACAGAGCCAGCCGCGCGCGCGCGCACCGACCAACCAACTCAACTACACGTATGCACGTGAAAAATTTCCCTCGAGAGCTTTGTTGAATTTTTTATCTAGGACGAGGCGCGCATAATACATGCAGCAATCTTTCTGGTATCCTTGTGCAGCGTGCAAAACTACCTGTATTGCGCGACAAATTTATTTCTCAAATATTTATGCGAGCTAGACAAAAATTCGTCGAAAACAACGGGTCAGGTCGTCCAGCGCCTTGTAAATGCATCTCTCGACGTTTGTTCGCGATGCGCCTCCGTCTAAACTGCTAAAATACCCAGAGAGAAGAGAGTTTAGCGCGTCGCCGTGTACGCAGTACGCACAGGCTCGTAGAAAAAGAGAGAAAAAAGGAAGCTGCGAGTCTTGTCCGCGCGCGCGAGAGAGAGAAGATATAGCCTTTCTCTACTTTCGCAGAAGAGAACAGAGAGACCGACTCGAGCGCGAGACTCTTTGCCCCGGAGTTCAATGGCAGCAGCAGCTACAAGCAGCGAATGGAGCTTATGTGCTCGATATTCTCTTTCAAGAATTTTTTCTTTCTCTCTTTTTTTACGTTGGAAGCTAGGGGCAGCGAGCGGTCGAGGGTAGAAATTTTTATTGCCCGATTATCGATCGATTATACGAGGGTAAACAGCTGATTTGAACATCTGTGCATGTTTTCAAGAGGCTCGAGGCAGTCGCAGCCTGGTTTGACCTAAATCGATACGCGCTTACGCCCGCTGCAGAGCATCATCCCCCTAAAAGAAAAAATCATCGATAAGCCGAGCTCGCACGCGTGAGGCGCGCGCAAGCGTCACTTGGTCAATTGCAGCCTCCTCCCACCTGCGCGATTCGTAATTCCAAAGCCGCTCCTCTTGTTTCTTTTCCTCCATTGAAATTTCTCTCACAAATTCTAATTCAGATCTCTGGCTGCGTGTGCAATATCGATTTTGAAAGAGACGCGCGTACCCATCATTGGCATTTGATTTCTTTCCGCTACTCGAGATTTATTCGATCCTGCGCAAAAGCCAATGATGTTGGAACTTTTCAATATCGTCATCGCGAGCTCACATACGTGCACGTACGCACACACGTAGACACACACACATACACATACACGCTCTTGTATGAGGTAATATGCGAAGTTCAAGCGCTGTATCCTCACACAAGGCTGTTCCGTTATTTGTCCTGATTCTTCTCGCTTGCCTCTACAGCATATGCGTATGTATCGTGTGTGGTGTGTGTGTGAGAGAGCTATAGCACACACAAGACTGTATACACGATAGAGCGCGTATAGAGTATACGCCGTGCTTACGGGGCGCCGCGTCTCAGGCAGCACCTTACAAAATCCTGATGTAACATCGTTCGGACGCGATACGCGCTCATAGGTTGGCTTTTTTCCCTGCCTCCTCGTTCGATATAATAAATGCCGCACGCGCGAGCATGCGTATACGAATAAGACCATAGCAGATATAGAATACGTGTATAGACGTATAAAGGGAGCGGCTGCGTTGAGAATTACATAAAAGGCTGCTGCACCCACCTCCTCGCCACCAGGGTCGCGCCCACGCGCTGCTGCCCACGATGACGATTTTCCTTCGCGCGCTCGCGAACGCCAAATACACACAGCAAAGCTGAAAAAAAAAGATTATACCACTTGCCGAGTATCACTTTCTTCGTCATTAATTCGTATTATTGAAAAAGGATCCTCCAAACTTTCGAAAAAAAACTCTTTCTCGCACGCGCGCGCTGTGACTTGTGTGCCTTACCTGCGCGTATACAGGTGGACATGCGACGAGTCGTCCAACTTGCATACGACTCATTTCCCCCCCGTAGGAGAAAGTATAAACAGTAACGACGACGACGGTATGTGCGCATCATTTATCGCCATGTTCCGTTATATACCATTTATATGTATACCAGTCGCCCCAATGTGAGCCTATTAAGAGATAAAATAAAGATAAAAATTGAAATGAGGAGAGAACCATCGAGCGACGATCACTTTGCCTGCGACGCTCGACGCGATAATATATTATATAGGCTCCTCGTATTGTACACAGATCTCTGGTGACACCTATTTTCTCCTTTTTGAAAAATATTTTAATTTTTGTCCATTTAACGTAGCTGATATTTTTATTTTCATCGCGAAGTAACTAAAGTATTTCTTTTTTTCTTTTACAGACGGCTCAACCAAAACCTATAGTCGCTAACAAGCGCGATTCAGTTTAACTAAACAATTTGTAGTACGATCGAACGTGCGGAGCACGATCGACCACATGTTGGCCGACATTAACGGTAATCTGGATATGAGAAACGATTCAACCATGAATCAAAGGTTCTGTCTGCGCTGGAACAACCACCAGAACAACATGCTGTCGGTCTTCGATCAGCTGTTGCACGACGAGTCCTTCGTCGATGTGACGTTAGGGGTTGAAGGACAATTTCTGAAAGCACACAAAATGGTGCTTTCGGCCTGCAGTCCTTACTTCCAGGTTAGTTAACTTTATAACTTGCTCTATACTTGATGATACTCGGAAGATTTTCGCCGATTCAATTTTCAATACAGAGGCTTTCGTAATTTGACTGTTTGAGTACAATTAAGTATAATTTATATATTTTAATATACTTGATTCATTCAAGTTTTTTTCCCATTTTAATGGAAGCTCGTTAAAGACATTTGATAAAATAATTTTGGAAAGCTACCGATATCACCTGCGGCTTTTATAAAATGCTTAAATTTAATAGCTTCATAAGCTCATCACAAAACTTATTTTAATATTTTCGATTTCAGTCTTTGTTCGTAGAACACCCAGACAAACATCCAATTGTTATCCTCAAGGATGTTCCTTTCTCCGACATGCGAAGTCTTCTGGACTTCATGTACAGAGGTGAAGTCAGCGTAGACCAAGAACGCTTGACCGAATTCTTGCGAGTAGCTGAATCTCTGAGAATCAAAGGTCTGAGCGAAGTGCAAGACGAAACTGCAGCAGCTGCATTTGAATCATCTCACTTAACTTCTGCCCATCACAGTCACACAAATAGTCCAAATACTGTACCACCACCACCTTCTCTACATCGTATCAATAATCTTAGTCGTACTCAATTAAAAAAGTAAGTTTTTAGTATATTATTCGAATTTTCATTAAATTTATTTTAGATCGTTATTAATAATTCGTGTATTTTTTTTTCTTTAGCAAATATCAACACATTGCCACGCATCCACTTCTTGGATCTGCACTCACTGCACCAAAACGCAAGAGAGGTAGGCCACGCAAGCTCAGTGGCTCATCAGATCACGAGCCATCGTTAAACGAATCCGGTATTGATCTCGTCCAGGGTTCCCCTGAAATGATGGAAATGAGAATGGGACTCGATCTTCACAGTGAAATGGGTCACAACAGCGGAGCTTCGTCGAATGGTAGTAATCACAAAAAAGAAGAAATAATTGGCAATGGAGGTGAGGGACCTGAACTTAATATGAGGATTAAGGGTGAAGTAGACCCTCTTCCGAGTACGTCTGCCGGTAAATTCTTTTACCAGACCCAATCGCTAGGTGTTAATAGTAAAAAAAAATTGATAATTAATTTTTTTTTTTTTTTTTTAGACAAAGAAGACTCATTCACAAGACCGCAGAGCAGACAAGGCAGCGAAAGCTTCAAACAAGGTAAGAAAACCATTCCAAGTGCCTTATACCACCTAATTGATATTGCCTTATTCCACCCCACGTTTTAGCGATATCCTGTTTTAATGTAACCAAGTATAACCAATAACAAAAGTTTTTACTCGATTGCATTGCTCTAATCCTTATACCACAGGGTCAAACACCATAATTCAAAAAATTATTCGCAGGTTAATTTTTTCTTATCGACGATTAACTATGCAATAAGCGCATGATTTATGGTTCTGATGTTTGTCACATGTATGGCAATTTTTGTTTTCATACATATTTTTTTAAAAGTATAAAATATTCCTATCAATGACAATATAAAAAGCGATAGTTCGCTGACGTGAAAAAAAGTTTTTTTGTTATCATATTATCATAGCTGTTTTTTTATTCGGGTTACTGAAGGGATAAAGATTTGTGCCAATGAATTTTGAGCACTAAATTAGTATAAGCAACGAATGAACGCGATTGAAAATTGATGATCGATCGATAATACTTATATATACGTTATAAAAATCGGTAAAACACGAAATGCAACAAAATCAACCCTCCACTCTCCACCGAATCATGCATGGTGTGTGAAAGTACGCCCCTCATCTCACTTTATGTTCAATAATATAATCACTCGCGCAAAAAATATTTGCTACATGCTTTATGTCGTGTCTGGCGTCGCCACTCCTTTTTCATCATAATCGTTTTTTTTTGTGTTTGTTTTCGTTCGCTTTATAAAACACTGTTTTTTTCAAGTTAAAAAGGCAGTCATTTTTCTCTTTCTCTCTCTATTTTGCTCTCTGTTTTCGCAAAACTTCATGTGAATCTCTTATACATTAGCTCAATTATCATACAAATAACATCAGTTATTTTTCTCATCAAATTAATATTAATAATTTTACCTGAGTTTTTGTGTGTGTACCATTAAAGTCTAACACAAATATATTATGATCAATAATAATTAAAACTCACGGTTCGTATGAATATGATAAAAATTATAAAACTACACGGAGAGAAAGAGAATGTGCAATATAGACAAATTAAGCAATGAGAAAGGACCAAGAGACGTCACATTAATGCAAGCCATAACGATATATTTTAAAGAATTAATCATGAAAAAAGTATTTAATAACAGTAAAAAATTGTTAAAGCCAATAGTTAACTTACGTACCCTTGAATGCTGTAGTCTCCAAAAAATCTAACCTACTGTCCGTATATTTTGCACGTCGTATACATATTATATAATTAGATACAAGTTATACTTACATTGCGTACCATTGTGTACGTTTGTTTTTTTCTTAATTATCATTAATCTTAATTGAGCAAAAACTACCCAAGTTATTACTCACTTGCTCGGCCAATGCGTAGCGCACCTAAAAAATTGTTCGTTAAAAAAACGTACAATATATTTGTTCACTGTCGGTCCTTATCATTGAAAAAATAGTAATGGTATCACAACTTCCATGCAAAATTATTCTTATTTTTTGTTAATTTGTTGTTATTGCATTTTCACAATTCCCGCACAGATTATTATTATTCTTATTTATATTATTATTATACTATTATTATCATCATTATCATTGAACCATCAAAAAAAATTATGAAAAAAGTGTATTAGCATACACAAGTAAAAGAGGGAGAGAGAGAAAAAAAGAGAGGAAGAGATTATTGAACTTCTTATAAAATACCAAATGAGTAAAATAATGCGCTTCGCTGCCATTGGCCTTGAATAAAAGAATTAATTAAAAAATGAAAAGTAAAAGGAGGGGATGGAGCCAGCTCAGCGGTATCGAGATATTTTTTTCAAAACGCTGGTCATATAACATCGTTTTGCACATCCGCAAATATGAAATCGTATCTTATCCAACAATTAGAATACCCGATTAATTAATAAATTTCCGATCGTTCCGTTAATGATTAGTCGTGTGCCGGTTAGATCGATCGACAGATAGTTCAGGAATTATCATAGGTATATATATATCGATTAATCAGTGAAAACACAACTTTCGTCTTTGCTAATATTACAACTTAGGCCTTACCGAATTTTTATCTTCTTCATTCATGTAACAAAATGTGTATAATACAATTAATCATCAAGTGCATTTCTATATCTTTATTTTTTATTACATCATGTATATATATATGCTCATATATACACCCACGCCAAAAATAAGAAAAAAAGTCGACGTTATAATCGTGAGTGCCCGAAGAACGAGAAAATTCGGTCTGTGACATTTTGTCACCTGTGAAATAATAGTGATAACGTATTGTTATTGTTGTTGTTGTTGTTGTTGTTTTTAAAAACATATTCGTCGTTCTCTTTGCGCATAGCAGGTGAGTTGAGAATTGAGTCAACTTTTTAATTCTTGGACGAAACCTTTGCGCGGGGAAGTGGAAAAGGACAAGTAGGGAGGCCAGCCGTTTTCCCCGTCTTTTTGTCTAAATCATTTGCTAATTCGAGCATCAATTGTAGTTATTTCTTCTTCGATTAAATTTATCGTCGTCTCGCGTATCGGCATCACATGTATAATTAGTCGGGTGATGGGTTAATGGTGTATAAAACATTTATAATATATTTATTTTCCATGAATTGTACGATAAGAGATGAACCTTTGATTATTTCACAACCACTATTTTTCATCACGTTAAAAACGAAAAACATCGCGTATAAACAAAAAAATACTTAATTTTGTTTATTAAGTGTGATTGTGTGTGTCTCTCTGCACTTTTGCTTTAACGTACTTGGACAGTATACCCTGTTTAATTTTTTTTCATTTCGTATAATCGGGTGTTTTATTTATTTATTTTTTGTTTTTTTTTTGTTTTGGTCTAAAAAAAGTTGCAACTTATATTAGACAAGCGTTAAATAACGATATTAATTGAAAGAATATAAAAAAACGCTTTTTTGAAATAAACTGATGACCATAACGAAAACTGGGACTCAGTTCATCAGGTAACGCTTTTTAGTTTTATTTTTTTCTAATTTTTGTTCTATCTGAACGCGTCGCCTAATATTATATTCCAGTACTTGGCGTTACGTTGTTTATATTACTAAAATTAAAAAAAAATTCTTAGAAAACGAATTTCTCATAACGATTTGACTTTATTAACTCGACTGCTAATATAAATCTAACAAAATTAGGTACAACACTTTTATCAAAATGTACTTTTGTACAAATAGTCACAATAATAATAATGATAATTAAAAATACCATTTAAATGACGCGTGAGTAGTTAATCGATAAAAAGAAAGCGTTGGTGCGGGCATTGCGTGCAACTTAATAACCTATGCAATAGGCGGTGATAGATAGATGCTAGTTAACCAGTACAGAGACACACATAAACACCCTGTATGATGTTAAAAATAAAGGAGTGAAAAATGGAATTTGCGAGAATCTTGGAAAAATAATAATATTATAAAGTATAGTAGTACCGGACGACGATGACGATGTTGAAGATTGGTAAAAAAAAAACATAGAAAAAAAAATGATTAGATAAACGCGCTGAATCTCTTTGCTGGCTCTACCCTTCCTCTTGCTTCCCCCCACAAAAGTATTCGTTATTTATTTTTTATTTCTATGTAATGAATCTCTGTAGATGAACTCTCTATTTTACATTATTGTTCATTTTCATGTACACACAAGCTACTTCTATTTGATTACTTTAGAAACTTTTACTTTCTTTTTCTTCATCATATCACACATTTATGACGTTCTTAGATCTGACAAAAGCTATTTATACACAATATGAATATGTTTTGTCAAAATGAATTGAAAGCATAATAAACGTATCATTTTTACTAGCAGCTGCATCATCACCGCTTATAGATTGTCTAGAGAAAAAAGAAAAGTTAAGGCCAGAAATGGTATCACATTGTCATATTCATGCACGCTCGCACACATACGCTCAAACTTTTGTCGATCGACGAGAACGCCAAAAATGCTTGATATTTCAGCCAAAAATAGGACTTGACTTATTTCCCTTTTTTAGATGGCGAAGATAACTCGAGGTCCAGCGATAATCAGTCACCGGGCGATCGAAGCAACAGCTCCATAAACCAGCAGATGCGCATGAACTTTGAGAAATGCCTGCGCAGAGATTACAATTCAGTGCAAGGATCGCGACATCATCCCTACCAAGACGAAGAAATGCATCTCGCTGACCGAATCCCAGGCTCGCCGGTCACGTCTCATCGACGCACGCCCCTGAAACACGAGTCGATGTACGGATCGGCAAACATAATGGACAACGAAATGAGCCATTCAGGTGATCTCGATAACTCTCTGAATCAGTCGTGTCCCAGCCTGATGAAAGGCAACGTGTCGGGCGTGAACGCGAGCCCCGCGTCGACGACCAGTGGCACCTCGACTGCTGCCACAGCCGCCAACAACAACACCGACGAGCGAGCCTCCGAGGGTGGCTCCGTGCGCGACTACTGCGTGAAAGAGGGCGAGGTCTACCGGTGCATCGTGTGCAATCGCACCTACACCCATATTAGTAACTTCTGCCGGCATTATGTGACCTCGCACAAGCCCAACGTCAAGTACTTCTCTTGTCCCGTCTGCTTTAAAGAGTTCACGCGCAAGGACAATATGGTCGCCCACGTGAAGATCATTCACAGCATGAAGCCCCCAAATGCCATTTCAGGACAATCTGCTGTTACTTCAGGCGCTATTAATTTGCAACAGCAGCGGTAGATCTCTCGGTTGTTTTCCTGGTTAATGGGAAACGCAAATACTTAAGCGAGCCTGGAGAAAGAGTTTTAAATTGTAAAATAAACAAACAGTTACGATCAGTGCCAAGGCTTGAATTAACATATTTTAGAGGCAAAACAAAGAAATGCACTTTTTTTAACTTTTGATCATCTCTCGGTTCAATCTCTCCGAACACACATACACACAGAGAGAATCGTTTGTTAAATTTTATCGTAGTAAGTTAGACAATTAGTTTTAATCTATAAAAAAGGAAGTCAAAATGTATAACACTCGTGGAAAAATTAAAACGATTAACCAAAGATGAGCCAAGATTTTGAAAAGGTCGTTTATAATAGTAGCCTAGAATTTTCGCGGAATGACTAGCTATGCCCTGAAGCAAAGCATACGATGTTTAAGTGTTAAGGCGTAGAATAATATACATATTTGTAGACAATATTAGGAGGGTTGATGCTTTAAAAAAGGAAAACAAAAAACAATGTTTGTGTGTGGTTTTTGCGGTCCAATTAATTGCATTGATATATGAAAAGAAAAGGAGAGTAATAAATTCAGGACGGCGTTTTTCAAAGACCAACAATCCCGTTTTGTATATAAAGTCGATTGCTCTGCACTGATCAGCGGCTGTTGCAATGGTCTTTTTTTTGTCTTATTCATAATGCAATATTATACTGAGCGTATATAAGTCTACTGTATTTATTAAGTCATTTGCATATATTATAGTTTATAGAGTTTATATAAGATTATGATCGTTGATGTTTTAAGAATTTTATCATTTTACCCTTTAACATTGCATCTAGTTATCTATGAATATCTAGATCAATGACATATCATATCAATACGAAAATCGCGCTTATTTATATTTATATGATATGGAAGGATATTTGTGTTTAAGAACTTGAATTTATTGAAAAAATAACTGCGCGAATATTATTGCAATGCCAAAATAAAAAGTAAACGCTTGCGTTTGAATTGGACAGACCTCGCGATACGATTGTAGAAAATATATTAATATAGAAGAATGGCAGAGTCAATATGAATATATAAAGCTTTGAATAATCTTTGGAGAACGTCGATCCCACGAGACTAGCTTAAAAAAAGTTAACTTATTGAAAAATCCAATCGAAATGTGTTGAAAAATAATCATCTAGTTTTCACTCCAAATAAATCGAGGATTTTAGTATGAATGCTTGTTCGTACGTCAGTGATGAATAAATGAAATTTATTTATTAAAAAGTATATATATGTAAAATATATATATCATATAATAGAGCTTAGAAAAATCGTCAATTAGTGTCATGTCAAAAATAGTGTACGTCATATATCTATAAAAAGGATATAGATTATATGTACTGTTTATCATCAGAGCCGGGATTGAAAGCATTGTTTCCGCTTTCTGCTCGGTATCAAAAAAATCTTTTATTCAAAAGGTCAAAAAACAAACAGAAGAAACATTTTTAACGTAAAAAATGATAAAACGGAAAGCAATGGCAAACTATACAAATACAAATCAAAGCGAAATTATGAAAGTCGTAAACAATAATAATTATTCAAATGAAGATTTTAAAAAAAATGAGCGATATACACAGATTTTTGACGCGAGCGCGTATCATCAATCTTAAAGTGCCCTTAAAATCCAGCAAAGCCATTGAATAGGTGATATGATTCTTTCTTCAACTCCCTGTGATTCTAGTCGTTGCTCATCGGAATGTTATTACGTTTCCGGACTATAGCAAAGGAGAAAGTTTATTAAAATTAACGTTAAAAACTCAATACAAAGAGTACCAAAGGATTTGGCTATTCATCACTAGCTCGCATCAAATATTTCGTGTACATCGATGTTGGAACGAGTGCCAAATATCAGATTTATTGAATGTCAACACGACAATGGAAAAGACGCTTATTTTATAAATATCGCGTGCAACCAAGCTCATAATGAACTAATTTCTCGTGATACGGAAGTGAAACCTTTGAAATGTGCACATCTTTTAGTCAATAAGTAATTATAAAAACTGAAACAAGTAAAAGACTTTTTATGCGAAAATTCGTTGCCATATTATTGTGATTAGTCAACAATGTTAAAGAAATTATAATAATCTTGAATTTATTATGTATATCGCGTGTTAATGTTTGATTTTTTTATTAATTATAACACAATGAAATTTAAAAAAAAGGAATGTATTGAAATTCTCAAGTTGATATAATAATCAAACTTTGAAAATTTGGAAACATCAAAATAAAAATAATCCTAAATACTTGTTATACTATAAAATTTTTTTGTTATAATCTTAATTTTATCAAACAGCAATTGTTTTAATGAAGATATTGTCTGTTACCAAATTAGTGTAATCATCACTACTCCAAAGACATTAGGTACAAAAAATGCAAAAATTATGAAAACATTTGAATTTTATGAAATGCGAAAAATGGGCATTGAGTTCACGTGAGAAAATCAAATTTTATGTAAGAATTTTTCGCCCAAGATGTTATGAAGAAAAAATCGAATGATTGTATAAACAAAAGACGTTTCATTCAAATTGTAAACTATGCCAACTTTGTTCATCGTCCTTCCGAGTGAGATATAATTTCACTATCCCATGTGGTTTGCTCGATTGTACGTGAACATTGTGATTCTGTTGATTATTATTAACCAAGTGCAATTCATACGATAATCATTTTGAAAAAAAGTGAATGATTAGAGTTTAGAACCGAGTAGGCGACACAATTTTCACAAATCATAAATCTAAATAAATATATTTACAAAAAATAAAGTGATTGAATAAGTATAAAACGCGAATAATTATTCTTCGCGGAAACGTAATCAAAATTTTAAAAATTCAGGTAATGATAAAAATATTCGTTTAACATAATTTATTAAAGCAATCACCGGAGACTGAAAAATTCTAATATCCTCTCTTATAATAATTAAATAAAAATACAACATGTACAAACTTTGTACCGACTTTCGCCTACACAAAAATTGCGCGTTGTTTAATGAAATATATAAAGGTAATCTTTTTTTAATAATACCAAAAAAAATAAACACTTGGGTGAAATTAATCATTAGATGTTAAAATTATTCTAATGAAAACTGGATATATGAGGCAGAAACACTTTCAAAGTACACTAAAACTGTACTAGTTATATGAAGTTGACCATACGTCGCGTCGTTATATGCGATTAAAATTTTCTTTTAATATCAAATCCGTGTTCTTATACGTTTGTTGTAATTAACAAAGACTGCAGAGAGGACGGTTTACACGTAATACGTAATTAATAAAATATCTATATAACGACACCAAATATACAAGATAGTACTGACATTGGATAGACTGAAGGCACTTCTTTTTAGTAGAATAAAACTTAATAAAAGTAAAAAAATTTATGAGATAAAATAAGCGTATCATAACGCGAAAAAGCCTTCACCCGTATGGAGATCTCTCGTTTTTATATTTACAATAGAGCTATATTATATATCGTACTTTTTGCGGATATTTGACTTTGAAGGCTACACGGAGAAAACAGGGTTTGACGTGCGTACATATATTTATATATATTTAACAAAGTAGTTAGACGAAATCTTAGAGATCGTTAGATATTTTTACAAAAGCATTTCTTCTATTTACAAATGACAAAGTAAATATATATGAAGTAGGTACAAAGTGAATAAAAAAATTTGCACGAAGCACATTTATGTCTGTAAAATGATTGCCTCTTCAAGGTCGAGCCGCGTCATCAAACAAAAAAAGTACGAATTTCAATAATTTTTTCAAAGTACGGAATAAAATGTGTTAGATTCGAATTAACTGATTTTATATGACGGGTTTCAATACGGTCGAAGGCTCTGGTGTGTGTATATAAATAATCATTCATGAACAATTAAAATAGATATTTAGAGAAGCCAGTTGCACTAAATAAAATATTTATCATAGAAGAAATAATAAAAAAACAATCGTACGATCGTTGCTAGTTATCATATAAATATACATACTGCACGTGAACTCACTTCTCTGTCAATGTGTATATTAATCATTCTCGTCGGGGATATTTTTTGTTTTTTATTTTATAACATAGTAATTATAATTTTTTGTTCGTGGATTCGCCATTGCAAAGAAATACACAGTCAAAACCCCTTGCATATACATATTTATGTACATTCGAGGAAACAATTATCAGCATTATACACACACTGATATAATAAAGGCCAGTACGATTATCGCCTCATTATAAGAAATGAATCGCTGTTCTAACTTACGAAAACAAAATGGCATCTATGAGCTAATCATTTTTTGTTTATTTATATCTATTCACAGAATGGGCAGCGGCTAGACAGCTTATAGTCCTCTTATGTTTTTCTTATATTTTGTAATAGATAATAAAGTATAAAGTACCATTAAAAATAATTAATAACACATTTGATAATCACCGAGAGCTTAAGACTAACTCTTACAGACGATGATATATAGTTAAAAGGGCGTTTAAAGAATTTTTTTACTCTGATTAAATAAAATATTAAGTGAGTCGCAAGCGTGTCAGGATTGTTTTATCTCAAAGTGTAATGCTTGATGCTCTGAACGAACTAAGTTGTTCTTTTTTCGAAAAAAATTCGAATTAAACTTTATGTCAGATCATAACGAACTGAAAGATTATTTAATTGTTGCATAGGTTTTAATGAGACTATTTTATAAAGATTTAACGTAATATTTTATTGGAATCAGATATTACGTTAAGCTCTAAATTGAAAATTGATAAAAAATGAAAACATACATAAGCTTTAAGAAACCATGTGCCTTTTCTATGCTAGTGACATTTTTTATTATTAGTTTTCAATTTTGTAAATGTATTCTATAAGTAAAACTACGTATTGGATAAGTTGTGTTTGAAAATAATCACACGAATTTAATTATTTAAATGATTATAGTAATTGTTATCATTTAATATTATAATAATTATTGTAATTATTGTAATTATTTAAATAATTCAAAAAAATTTTCTAGATCATATGAAAAAGCTGTTAATCATTTTTGAAAAAATTATAACTTATCTTTGAAGCATCAAGATTCTTGTCTTATAACAGAAAAAGAAAGCAATATCTTTAATGTGAATGTGGTGATAAAAACGTTGGATTGCGCGCGAAATAAGAAATAACTGCTTTTAAATTACGAAGTACAGAATATACATACATGTAATATACACATAAGAAAAATATATAATATAAAGCGATACAAAATACGGTATAAAACGCGTCGAGATGGATAAATATAAGCTTTAGCTACTTGAAATAGAAAAATGAAAGAAAATTAATAGAGTTTATTTATAAAAAAGAACATATATTTATGCGTGACTTTTGCAGTGCATATGTGTAATAGTTGAATTATGTTGAATTGTATCTAGGGCTTAATTGACATTTTTTTAAAATTTATAAATCAGAAAAATTTTCTTCAATATATTCTTTTAAAAATAATTAAAATGATAAAGTCAAAAAGCACTCGCGTATCGCGAAATCACTTTATTCATTAACACACATCTTTTCCCTGTGCCCTTTACACCCATCTGAGAGAGGTTATTCACGAGGCTTAAAAGCAGACTGTTCTATCGGATAGATTTTATTAACATACATTACAATGCATAAAAACGTATTAATATTACAAAAAAAACTAAAATGAAAATAATAAATTATCATATGTACACGTATACGTACATAAATAATATGTTGATATGTATTGCATCGATACATGCAATAATGACACGAGGGGAAAATTAGCGCCTGAGCTCATCATTTATTTGTTATAAGGCGCAAAGCGTTCATTATTATGTACACAAAACATTTTGGAGTGACTATTTGTAATTGATCCTTTTGTTTCATTCAAATATGTTTAATGGAAAAAATATTATATTATATTGTACATGTAAACGAAGAATAATACCGAATAATATATTTTAGCTATAGTTAATATAAATTATCCGCCTCGTTACGTCGTTGCAGAAGCAAACTGAAAAAATTAAACAATACGTCAAGCAGCGGAGATAATTTAATTCTCTAAGATTAAATGTATCTTAAATATCTATACACCGCGAATACCCACCTGACGGACTTAGAATTCACAAATTTTTATTTAATTTCTTACTTGTGTGTAACGAAACAGATGAATGTGAGACTTTTTTAAAAATGAAATTTTTAAAGAAAAAATCTTTTAATCGCTAAATTAATATAAGCGTCGTGATGTAGTTGTGATCCCGTTTCGGTGCCTTTCTAAAAAATTTATTAAATTGTTAAAAACCGCGTTCAAACACGATTAAAAAAATTTTAAATCTAGATTCAATCTCTATAAAAAAAAACTGATAAATAACTCGTGCAATCGTAAGTCTAGTGCCAAATAAATGAAAGAAAACGTAATAAGTAACTCACGGCGATGAAAAAAACCTTGTTTAAGAAAAATAAATGAAATTGCAAACCAACTTACTCTATTGAAACAAAACAATTTTATACAAAAAATTCGTGTGAAAGTTGGAACATGAATATGCACGAAATTATATTGATATAAATAATAATAGATGTTTGATGAAGTGACAATGAGTCTTTTTATGACGCTGAGTAGAATTATTTCATTTTATATGCACTGATGGCTTTTTTTTAAATATCGACAATGATTTACAGAAAATCAAAAGTTAGAATTTATAATAAAAAAAAAGTAATTAAACTAAAGCAGATCGGTGTTCAATAGTTAATAATTATAGCCTAAATTCATGTCTTATTATATCTATGTTTTAATGAGTCTCGTTGTGTTTCATCGCATTTTTAATTTTTTGTCTAATAGTGAAAATATTATTTGAAATTATATTATAAAATACTGAGTTTTAAAGAACTGTTTTCAAACTGCAGCGAACTCGACGTTTTAATTTTTCAAGCCAAATATATTTAATTTTACTACGTTAATTGTTTCTATGCATAAAATGTACGCAAGTATGTGAATCTAACAATAGTAATACTTAGTCTTATGATTTTTAATTACTGTAATCGTAATACCAAGTCATTTGTTAATTTTTTTTTCATTTAGTTAAGGCATATAAATATATAAATTAGGGCTTCACGATACGATACAATATCGATATTTACTTAAATATCGGTATCGTATCGAACTTTAAATTGTTGTATCGTATCGTATCGAAATCGACGATATTTTTTTTTTAAATTTATTGTATTGTATATCGAAGTCGATACGATATCGATACGATAATCGATATTATATCGAGAAATATAAAAGATTTAGGATNTTTAATATTAGCAGCAGCATTGTCCACCGTAATGCCAGCTATTTTATCATGGATATTATAAAATTTAGCAATTTCATAAAAGGTGTGTGCAATATCTAAACCGGAATGTTTTCCTTTAGATGGACTAAAATCAATAGCAAACGAGTTTAAAGTCCAATTTTTGTCTATGTAATGAACAGTCACTCCATAGTACGATTTCCTGGTTTTTCCAGACCAGGCATCGATTGTGAATGCAAATTTAGATTTATTTTTTTCTAATAAATTTTTAACATTTTTTTGCATTTTCTCAAATTCCTCTTTGATCATAATATTTGCTTGATTTTTACTGGGTACTGGAATATTTTTATTGAAGAAAGCAAAAAAATTTTGTGTTTCCCGGTCATCGAAAAAACTTTTGGGTAAGTTCTTGAAACATAGCCATGTTACTATTCGCCGTTCAGTAGTACATTTATTCTCAGAGACCTAAAAAATATTTCATTAAAAATAGTATTCTTGTGCAAAAAAATAATAGAAATTATATTACTCTATGGTTTATTCACAAAAAAAGTATAAGATTACATCAATTTGATTAATCAATGAAAAACTTATTTTCTCGCTAAGCCGATTATCTCTTCAGCATTGCAAAAGTGCCGAGCAAACTGTACAATAACAAGTTCTTTCTTGCACGACTGTGATCAAGTATGGCCATAGCTCTATATACTCGATCGCACGTGATTAATGAATGTATACAAATTAAATTATTAAAGTTACTCACTATTGAAAATCTATCCAAAGTTGATTGTAGTTTCGTATTGGATGATTTTTTTCTTGATGTTTCAAGAGGGAATAGTTTTTCATATTGCTTTCTGTGATGGTGCTGAAGATGTGATTTCAATCCAGTTGTGTTGCTCGCTTTCATTGGTATTTTTGTTTTATAATTACCACTTTCATCTTTTCCGCAAATCAAGCAAAAACCATGCTTCATATCTTCGACTTTTTCATAATGAAAAAAGTCCTTTAACGATTGTTTGTCATCGTCTTGTTGCACTGTCTGCTTTTCATTTTTTTCAACGACAGCAGTTTTCTCGGATTCGAAGCAATTAGAAGTAAAAATTTCTACGTTACCTGCAGAAATATTTATTTATATTGGATGTTATTTCACGCGAATGAATATTTACATTTGACAAACAACTTACGAAGATCACATTCTAGGCAGATTCTTTTTTCACTCGAACCTTCTTCTTCGCCATCAACTGATTTTGAACACTGTTCGTGTAAATGCACAAATTTACTGCATATAATACATGAGTGCTGAGATGGCTCATGTCCATTAACACATATAGGGCAGTTTGTCATGTTTTAAAATGTTTTTATAATTTTTATATGAATTATTTCACGAAACAACACACAATACGTTATCTTACACGAAACAGCAGCGACTGCTGTAGTCTAATTAAACAGTAGTGTAGTTCTGCTTAGGTGCAAGTTCAAACGCGAAAAAACGACGACGATGTTGGAACGAGCAGCAGCATAGTTCTGCTGTTAGTGCGGATCTCCTTAAGCAGCAGCATAGTTCTGCTGTTAGTGCGGATTACAAGTCCGAACACGAAAAAACAAATGAACGTTGAGAGAGAGAGAGCGTAATGCAGTCGCACATTATACAACTGACAACATACGTACATATATAAATTTCATGTAGAAGGTCACGGCGACTACTCTAGCGGTAAACTGTGTTGTTATTATTTTTGGACATACAAATTTCCTATGATCGGTTGCTTCTCAAATGCGTCGAATAAGTTTGCATTGCAGAAAAAGTCGATATCAATATTTACGATATTATCGAGTAATTATTATCGACGATACAATATTATCGACACATTTTGTTAATGAAAATATCGTATTGATCTTGATATCGTAATATATAAGTATCGTATTGATATCGTCTCGTATTCGATACGATAACGATACGATATCGATATTTTTATCGAATATCGTGAAGCCCTAATATAAATATATCATATATACATTATAATTTTTTAGTTGTTTTCTTTGCTTTTCAACCAAACTTTCAATGATACAATGTAATATCGAAGAAAAACACAGTCACGATTAATAAAATTTGTTGTAAATTGTATTGAATGCATTATTTCATCATACCGACCTTTAAAAAAAATCTTTACATTCTTAAGTGATATTTTCTTTCGAAAATTGTACTAGTAATAATTATCCTATCTTTATTCACTTTCATACAATTTTTTTTCATCGAAACCCTATTACGATCTTTAAATATATCACGAACATGCGATACCATCGAAAAAGGATGAATCGTTTTAACAACTCAGCTTACTGTGCAAATAACGTATCCAAAGTTACTTCGTCGTCAAAAGAGACATAATGAAATTGAGACGACGTAAAGGTAATTAAAAAAAATGTAAAAGCTATAATTGTACATTTTCCATAGATTTTGTATCACAAGTTGATGTTACGATTACTTTTACTTTTTTATATCACTTTTATTTTGTGATTTTTTGTTAATTCTGTTTTCAAACATCAATATTGTATTCAAATTGTTTGAAGACATCAAAAAGAATTTCACCGATAGTTTTTTTATTTTCAGGTAGAATTAGATAAGTGTCAGTGTGTGCGAAATGTTAGTTTTTTCTGCCTTTAGATATTTATAATCATTTTCGTATTAAGCATCGTAATATTTTTTCATTTGAACCGAGTATTATTTTGGAGTGTTTTATTAAAAATTTCCGAATTGATTTTTTTTAGAATATTAAGTTATATTTTTATCAAGTTTTTTGTAGATCATAACTACAAAGTTTCCCCTATCGTTTATTGCGTTATTTTCTTGATTTTGTAGCAATTTTAATTCATAAGTATTCGAAATATTTCCATCATATTATTTTTCACTTTCATGCAAGCACTTTCGATATCATCAACATTACATACACATTTAAATTGTCATTATGTTGGTTGTTATTGTAAAATTTGCTTGCCTACAGGCCTTTATTTTATTATGATATTTTTTGATGTTGTACACATTACTTGCACATCACACGTTGAACATATAAAAACAAATCTGATTTTTTTATACCTTTTATTTACAGAAAGCTGCAGTAGTAGCCCGAATGACGATCGTATTCCGACACCTGAACACATCAACGCAACAAAAGTGGCGAACAGCAACGATAGTGTGAAGCTTCGCTCAGTATCCCCAGTCACAACTAATTCAAATCCGTCGTCGTCGCCACCGCGCAACGAGGCCATTCCGCGAGCTCTGAATCTTCAACCAACGAATCAACAGCAGCAGCAACAACAACAACAGCAACAGCAGCAGCAGCAACAACAACAACAACAACAACAACAACAACAGGCAAATGAAAGTCCAAACGCGGCAGCAAATTTCAGTAGCACCGCGGCGACGAGGGCAGCTGCTGCCGGGGCGAACCCAATGGCTGCACCAGCAGGCCGACAAGTGCCAAAGAGGCGAATGCGCCGTCGCGCTACGTCACAGAGCCAAGATCCTGCCGAAGCCCTAACAGAAATGTCCGTCCGTGGCTTAAATCTCTTCCGATATGCCTCGATCAACGAGGGCGTTTATCAATGCAACGAGTGCGCCAAAATCGACATACAAAAGACCTTCAAGAATAAATACAGCTTCCAGCGACACGCCTTTTTGTACCACGAGGGACAGCAGCGTAAAGTCTTCCCCTGCCCCGTCTGTAATAAGGAGTTCTCCAGGCCCGACAAAATGAAGAACCACATGAAGACGGTGCACGAGTGCTTTGTACCCAAAGAAGTTATGAATTACAGCCTCTACCATCCGTTGCAACAGTAATCACACACTAGTAACGGTACTTTTTCGGATTCGTTAAAACATGGAGACTTGTATATATATATATATTTATATATCCATATTACGCGTAGATAAGATGTATCTATAATTATGTCATAAATAAATAATAGGTAGTTTATGTACATACATGCATACTATGTATGGAATAGGGCTTAGTGAAAAATTATTTGCTTCGAATTGATCATTTTTATTCATTTTTACTATTGTATTTTAGAAGCATTGATTAAACGTGTAAATTTAACTTCCGTAGAATTTGATAAACCCGAATTATGTTCTCGTTTAGTAGAATCAATTCATTAATTGTGATTCGGTTAAGTGTAAAATAACCAAGTTTTTCAATGATCTTTATATTTTTTTAAGAACAAACACTTTTTTTCAATAGAATTTTTTGTGTGTAAGGGTTATTTATAATGAAAAAAATTATACTATAGCACGTGAATAAATGATGAAAAAATTTGTAGAAAATTTAAGCTTCTTTTTATGTAAGTGATATTTTTAACAGTAAATTTTTCCGTTACCTTGATGCAGTCGGGATGAACCCGCTTCATTTATATAAGATAACTATGGCTTTCACGCTGTGCCTTATATTATAATGATTTCTTTGCGCGCGTGTATATTTTTTCTCCTTGATCATAATACTTTGCGTAAGTTGAACAAACATTGGAATGATTTGAATTAAGTTTTGGTAAGAACATAGTAAATTTTCAATAATGTCAGAATTCATTAATTAAATTTATATTAAAAAATCGTTGTGATCGTTAACAGTGCATGAGATAGTTTTATTTAAATTTGAAAGTTTGACGGTCGAAAGTAAATGTCACTGTAATTAATTAATCGCGTAAAATTCTAATTTCTTACTCAAATGAGTGAAGGCAAGTAAAATGCTTACATTTGTACAAATTTAATATTTTTTTATTGGCTTTTTATTTTATTTAATTTTTCTTTACAAACCTCCGAAGACGACGGCGACACTGTGATCAGATTGTAAGCGACTATACAGTATTTTTGGTTTCGTACGAATATACTTTTTTTGTAGCAAGAAGTTTTATACGATTCACGTGTCTTTTTCTTGACCTTAAGCGATTTATAGACGATTTCTTCAAGGTAAAAAAGGGAAAACGGATTTACGGGAACAGATGCAATACGACGTATTTTATCTAAATGTAGACGTACGTAACAAGTTGATCAAAATCAATGCACAGATTTTGTTTCCAAGTTGTCGAAAACAAACTTTTCTCAAAAATTTCTTGCGTGTCTGTACTTTCCTTTTTTATACTAAAAAATCGTTGTGCCTTTTGATCAGAATTTTTATTCGAATTCTATACATATTACTTATTTGAAAAAGGCAATTTATATTGTACATGAGTAAAATGACACGAAATTCGTTCAATGCTTGAACTCCATGTGCATTACATGTATACTCTAAATATGTACAATGAGACAAAACCATGTAACTATGCATTTTGTAAGAATATTTATTAGATTTCTTGTACATTAAATTGTATCTTTTCTAATCTTATACGAAGTTTAAAACAAAATAATGGTGCACGATGACAACCATTTATCAGCGTAGATTTCAAGTATTGAAAAAGTATCTTATAATTGTATATTAATAATACAAGCATGAATATATGTATGTGTTTATACGTGTATGCACGAGTATGTATATAAACATACGTATACACAGACACTGTTACATACATATATATTCATATTTAAATTTTATAATATGTGTATATTGATGTAGTAAAACGGCACTTATAAAGTTTATAATGTTATTGAAACACATATCAGAAAGTCGATATATCGTCAGTAAAATAATGAAAATATTGAATATGAAAAATTAGTTTTAGTATGTTTTTTCATTAATCTTTTGATGGCATTAAAGTATCAAAAAAGTATGTGAGAGTTTGAAAAAAACATTAGGATTCTCTTTATGCATGTGAACATGTGTCAAAAATCATACATGTATTATAGGCAATATAATTTATAAAAATTGTTTACATACCTTTCAATATTATTATCAATATAATTATTAACTTTACGTTTACTTTATTTATAATAATTATTTAGATGATAACTGCTTGAGCGATTGTCACTGACACGATTACCACAATATTATATTCTCATCATATCAATACAATTATGCCGATAATGGACATAGAATATTTTCAAGATTAGTGAAGTATCAAATTTATGCAAATGCGATTGATGAAAATTTTGTATAATTTTACGTGTTCTTAAATCATTAGGCAAAAATTATGTTACTTTTTCATTGAAAAAGTTTATTAAATGATTACTTGTAAGTGAACGCACAATACACGAGACATGCATATAATATATGAATTGTAGTGATAATAAAAAAGCACGAAACACGCACGAGTTTTTGCACGACGATTTAAATTAAATAATTAATTACACGAGGCGAAGTGTTAAATATTGCTAAGATTTAAAGAATGGACAGAGAATTATTTATTGTCACATATTTGATATGCATTATTACAATTATTGATATAAACATTTATATATGTTTCTTTAACACCGAGAGAAAATATCTTTTCGCGCGTTGATGACTTTGTTCGTTTAGCTTACACGAATAACGATTTTTCTAAGATTTACTAACGTTTGAATCGAAAAAAGAGAATTTGTGAATAAGAATAAGTTTAACTGAAAGGTCGGGAAAATATATTAATATTTTTTACTATATAATTTCCATACTATCAAATTTTTTTTCTGGTGTAGGGAACCACACTTTTTTTTTGAAAAAAAGAAGTCTAAATAGTTAAGAAAGTCTGAAAAGGGGTAATTTTTATTTGCGCTCGTTATTCGAAAAAATGAAAAATAAAAAAAATGAATTCACAACAGTCAAAGCGCAAAAAGATTATTTAACCGATGCAACGGTGAACAATCGTTATATGTATTTTTTGTCAAATTCTATAAGCTTTCTTGCATTATTTAATCTGAAAGCAGTATTTGGTCTTCCACATTAGAATTGTTATACAAATGAATAAGATTAAGTGTGTTACTGAATGATTGCGATGAGAGTGTTTTTGAAAGAACTTTTGTAATGTATAAAATTGAGATATTTATAAATTTATATCCGAAAGAGCAAATATATTATATATATTATATTTTAAGTAAACAGTTTATATAAAAGGTATTTTTAATGCGCATCGTTAAATCCTTGTGTTAAGCGTCCTGTAAGGTCCCTGAAAATTGAAAGAAAAATGTTTCTCTTGCTAATAATTATGAAGAAAATCCTCCTAGAAAAACGAGATTTTTAAAGCTTTACTTTACCGATTCCGTCGTACAACCAATTATAATGACCGTTATAGTAGATACGAGCGCTTAAAAATTGTGAGAAACAAATGTTTCATTATTTTTATCTATTTGAAGTATATTATGCGTAAAAGAAAAAATAATGTTACTAACTGGTAAGAGTTTATTGATAAAAGTATATAATAATAAAAAAGATATCACTTATAAAAATTTTATTTTATTCCGAAGCTTCATCACCTAATTTTATTCTTACTAACTAAAAGTCAA